TGATAATAACTGTGGTGCCTTGTTCAAAGCACCAAAGTGTTCTGGCTTCTTCAGGCCAAAGTGTTCTGACAAGGGCAAAATGATCAAAGCACACAGTGTCCTTGGGAGTGTGTGCTATAAGCTTGTAGTCATTCATAAGAACATAAGAAATCGGAACGGTAGTAGGCCATCTGGCCCATTAAGCCATTCAATAAGATCATGGCTGGTCTTTTCATGGACTCAGCTCCCCTTACCTGCCTGCTCACCATAACCCTTAATTCCTTTACTGTTCAAGAATCTATCTTTGTTCTTAAGAACATTCAACAAGATAGCCTCAACTGCTTCACTGAACAGGGAATTCCACAGATTCACAACCCTTTGGGTGAAGAAGTTTCTCCTCAACTCAGTTCTAAATCTGCTCCCCCTTATTGAGGCTAAGCCCCCTAGTTCTAGTTTCACTTGCCAACGGAAGCAACCTCCCTGCTTCTATCTTATCTATTTCCTTCATAACTTTATATGTTTCTGTAAGATCCCCCTTCATTCTTCTAAATTCCAATTAGTATAGTCCCAGTCTACTCAATCTCTCCTCATAAGCCAACCTTCTCAATTCTGGAATCAACCTAGTGAATCTCCTCTGCACCCCCTCCACTGCCAGTACATCCTTTCTCAAGTAAGGAGACCAAACCTGTACATAGTTCTCCAGGTGTGGCCTCACCAGCACCTTATACAGCTGCAGCATAACCTCCCTGTTTTTAAACACCATCCCTCTCGCAATGAAGGACAATATTGCATTTGCCTTCTTAAGTATCTGCTGCACCTGCAAACCAGGTTTTTGTAATTCATGCATAAGGATATCCAGGTCCCTGTGCACAGCAGCGTGCTGCAGTTTTTCACCTTTTACACAATAGTCTATTTTGCTGTTATTCCTACCAAAATGGATGACCTCACGTTTACCAATTGTACTCCATCTACTAGACCCTTGCCCACTCACTTAACCTATCTATATCCCTCTGCAGACTTGCACTGTAGTCTGCACACTTTGCTCTACCACTCATTTCAGTATCATCTGAAAACTTTAACACACTACACTTGGTACCCAACTCTAAATCATCGATGTAAATTGTAAATAATTGCATTCCCAATGCTGATCCCTGAAACATAACAGTAGTCACTGATTGCCAACCAGAAAAACACCCATTTATCCCCACTCTTTGCCTTCTGTTAGTTAACCAATCCTCTATCCTAATATATTATCCACGCATCTTTATCTTATGCAGCAGCCTTTTGTGTGGCATCTTGTTGAATGCCTTTTGGAAATCCAGATGCACCACATCCACCAGTTCCCAATTGTCCACTGCACTCAATGTTCTCAAAAAAGTACCAGCAAGTTTAGTTAAACATGACCTGCATTTCATGAATCCATGCTGTATCTGCCCATTGGGACAATTTTTTTCATAGAATTCTTGGAATCCCTACAGTGTGGAAACAGGCCCTTCGGCCCAACAAGTCCACACTGACTCTCAGAGCATCTCACCCAGAATCATTCCCCTATAACCCACCTGATCTACACATCCCTGAACATTATGGCCAATTTAGCACGGCCAATCCACCTAGCCTGCACATCTTTGAACTGTAGGAGGAAACTGGAGCACCCGGAGGAAACCCACGCAGAGACGGGGAGAATGTGCAAACTCCCACACAGATAGTTGCGCGAGGGTGGAATCAAACCCGGGTCCCTGGCGCTGTGAGACAGCAGTGCTAACCACTGAGCCACCATGCCCTCGTAAAAGCAATGCCTGAACAGGGACTTGAACCCTGGACCCTCAGATTAAAAGTCTCATGCTCTACCGACTGAGGTATCCGGGCTGTAACTTCGACCTAGATGTCTCGCTATTTCTTCCTTGATTATAGATTCAAACATTTTCTTCACTACAGTGTTTAAACTAATGGGCCTACTGTTACCCGCCTTTTGTCTTCCTCCTTTTTTCAACAACGGAGTCGCATTTACTGTTTTCCAATCTGCTAGAACCACCCCAGAGGCCAGTGAAGTTTGGTAAGTTACCATGAGCACATTTGCTATTTCCCCCGCCATCTCTTTCAGTACCCTGGGATACACTCCATCAGGGCCAGCAGACTTATTTACCTTTAGCCCCATTAGCTTGCCCAACACTACCTCTTTCGTGATAATGATCGTTTCTAGGTCCTCATTTGCCATTGCCTCCTTGTCATCGATTATTGGTATATTATTTGTCTCTTCCACGAAATACGTGTTCAATGCCTTGGCAATTTCCTGACTTCCCATCATTAAATTCCCCCTTCTCATCCTCTACTTTAGCCACTTTTTTTCATTTTACATTTTTGCAGAAATTTTTGCTATCTGTTTTTAATATTCTGAGCTAGTTTACTTTCATAATCTATCTTATCTTTCTTTGTAGCTTTTATTTGGCTTTCTGTTGACCTTTAAAGATTTACCAATACTCTAGTTTCCCATTAATCTTTGCCACATTGTATGTATTAGCTTTCAATTTGATACCCTCCTTTATTTCTTTAGTTATCCATGGCTGATTATGCTTTTTCCTACAGTCCTTCCTTTTCACTGGTATATACTTTTGCTAGGCATGGTGAAAAATTGCTTTGAAAGTCTTCCACTGTTCCTCAATTGTCCTACCATAGAGTCTTTGCTCCCTGTCTGCCTTAACCAACTCGTCCCTCATCCCATTGTAGTCTCCTTTGTCTAAACAAGACACTGGTATTGGATTTTACCTCCTCACCCACTATCAGTATTGTAAATTCAACCATACTGTGATCGCTCCTTCTGAGAGGATCCCTAACTATGAGATCATCAATTATTCTTGTCTCATTACATATGACCAGATCAAGAATCGCTTGCTGCCTCATAGTTTCCTCAAACAGTATGTAATGGAACCTATTGTGGATACATTCGATAAACTCCTCAACCTTTTTCTCCACATAACCTATATCATCTCTCACAGCCAACCTGATGTCACCTTAAATGTCAGAGCTACACCACCTCCCTTTCCTTCCTGTTTGTCCTTCCAAATAGTCTGAAAACCCTGGACATTTAACTCCCAGTCATAACCAGCCTGCAACCATGTACCTGTAATGGCACTAAATCATACCCATTCGCAATGATTTGTGCCTTCAACTCATTACCATGTTTTGAAAGCTGTAAGCATTCAGGTAAAAGTGCCCTTACGCTGGTTTTCAGACCTTCTTTTTGAATCCTAACACCTCTACCAGAAAAAAAAACTTTGTTTTTAAAACATTCTCACTTTTTCTGTCACCATCTGGCTTCCACTCATCTTAGTGCTCCACTGCTCAGCCGCATCTTGCTTTTTATTTACTGTCTTGATTCTCTTTCTCCTCAAGCCCTCACCCACTCTAGCTAACTCAGAGCATCCTCTTGGGTTCCCATCCTCCTGTCAAACTAGTTTAAAGTCTACCCTGCAGTGATAGAAAAAAACCACCCGCACGAATATTGGTCCCGTCACTGTTCGTGTGAAGATCATCACTCTTGAACAGATTCCACCTTCCCCCAGAAATGGCCCCAGTTATTCAGAAACCTAAAGATTCACCAGTAGCTGTATCCTTCGTAGAGGTCTTGAGTGTTTACAAGTCGAAGAGGTCTTCATCTGTTCTGAATAAAATATGTATTCCTATATCCAGATCACCGAGTGGTGAACTGTAGCTTGGCCAAGTATATGGCAACAGATCCCAAGCCCGCCCACAACCTTGTTTGGTGCTGTGGTGGTGGGAAAGGCATCAGATGATGTGCCACTTGGCAATATGTTGGCCACCGTGAAATGAACAAATGACACCAATCATTGTTTCAGGGCAGAAGCCTTGATTTGAACTGATACACCCACTCTGCCCTTCGGGAGGGAATTCCAGGATTTTGACCCAGCAACAGCGAATGAACGGTGATATCTTTCCAACTCAGGATGGTGAGTAGCTTAGAGAGGGAAACAACTGCCTTCATTCTGTTTGCAGAACTTTTCCTGAAAGCAACATGCTGCAGAAATCAGGTGAGTGGCAATCTGACATGGAATAACCCCCGTAAGAACGTTTCCTGTTGATGAAGAGATATCCCAAGATGTTCACAGATGGATTTGTAGAGAAAAGTTACGCAGATATCCTTGTGGCCTTGGCACACATCCTTGTTCCAGATTAGACAGAAGAGGCCAGTGAGTTTCCACAAGACTGAGGACTTCCGGCATCGTCCGCCATAAAGTGACTCAATGATATCATCGTAAGGTATGAGTTGCTGGCTGAGGTGTTTGCTCTGCCCACAGAGAAGAGACCGTGTGCCTATTTGTTACTAACTGATGGCAGTATGCTGAGAGGATGTGTGCCACAATGGTTTTGGGCCCATATACTGATTGCAGGTATCCATAAACAGCCTTCGGGTCAGTTTTTTAATCACCAGCCTTGTTTTCCCACCATCGGTCCTTCATTTCCCTTTGTTTGGGCTGCAGCATGTGTTTTACATGATGATATCTGGCAATTGGGACTGGGACCACTGGGCCCTGTAACTCACCTCCTGACTCTCTACAGGTCCCACTCTGTCTAAAAGTCTGGAATGTGGTTGGATAGCACCATCCAAAATTGCAGCAGCTACCATCTGGGAAGACAAGCACAGCAGACACGTGGGAACAGCACCCCCTGCATGTTTCCCTCTCTAAGCTACTCACCATCCTGAGTTGTAAAGATATCGCCATTCCTTCGGTGTTGCTGGGTCAGAATCCTGGAATTCCCTCCCTAAGGGTAGAGCGGGTGTATCCACATTGTCAGGAAGGCAATGGATCAAAAAGGCAGCTCACTGCTACCTTCTCAAATGCAGTTAGGGTTGGGCAACATGTGCTCACATAACCAGCAATGCCCACAGAAACAGAAACAAGCAGCATACCGTGATATAGGCAGAGAAGGAGAGGAATGTCAGTAAAATGGAGTCAGTGTGCTCTCACAGTTACAAGCAGGCTCAGACACATGATATTACTTACTCTAGTGTTTGGAGCGTACAGCTCTGCTGTCCCAATGCAGCAATCAACACTCCAATTCCCCGGTCTTCGAGCTTGTTATTATTCAGGTTCAAGTGAGTCAATGACTGGTTGTTACTGAGAGTACACATGAGTGGATTGACAGTTCTCTCTCGAATCAGATTCTGACAGAGCCTGGGGATGAGAAAGATCAGTGTGAACTGTCCCTGAACATTTTCTACACAACAGGAAATACAAAAGCAGATTAACTTACAGCAGAGTCTGTATTTTACAGTGCGGGCTGCTCAGTGCGTCACACAGGCTTATCACTCCAGTATCTCCGATTTTGTTCTTACTGAGGTTGAGCTGTGTTAGTGATGAATTGCTGCTGAGCCCCTTAGCAAGTTCCTGGGCACCTGTATGAGAAATACCATTGGAAGACAAGCTGTGGGAGGACAGAGAGCAATGGAATGTGTGTTACAACTGGAGCAGTAAGGTTTATGTGCTCAACCCACCGTAACACCTCTCGACACACAATGTACATAGTATATCACTTACTCCAGTATCTGTATTTTACAATCTGCCCTCTCCAGTGTATCAGACAGCAGTTTCACTCCTTCGTCAGTGAGATTATTACCCTGCAGTCTAAACACAAACACAGTGTCTCAGAGACCAAGGCTGTGACTTTGAACCATAGGTTATTTCGGGATAAGATCCATAGACTGAATCCTTAATTTGTTATTGTACTTAAAAACATTCATGACACTTTGTACTCGACAGACATGAGTGCAGTAACAGTGACTGAAACAGGACAAATGTAAAGGACACAGGTTAATCTGGAAGATTATGGAAGATAAAAGAGCAGAAAACATTTGGGGAGACATGGGTGGCCCAGTCTGAGGTTTGGGGTTCGTGTTTTTGTTATCACGGTCCAGGTGTTAACTGTCACCTGGGCAAGTCACAGAGTGAAGAGGATCACATGGCCCTGACAGACCACAAAAAATTCTAATCTCGTTGTAACACAATTCATTGGAAGACTTGAGAGCCACTAAAGTCATCTCAGCAGCATGGGTTCTGTTTGCTCAGCACGGGATTCGGGAAAGATTAACTTAAGACATTGTCACCAGTTCACCATAAGACCATAAGAAATAGGAACAGGGTTAGGCCATTCAGATCCTCGAGCCTGCTCTGTCATTGAATAGGATCACGGCTGATCTGACATTCCTCACGTCCATTTTCCTGCTTTTTCCCAATAACCCTTCTGATCAAGAATGCATCTATCTCAGCATGAAATATACAAAAGGAGTCTGCCCGCACAGCTCTCTGAGTCAAGGAGTTCCAAAGAATATCAACCCTCTTTGAGAAGAAATGCATCCTCATCTCAGGTTTAAATTGGCACCCCTTTATCTTATGAGACTATGCTCACTGATCCTATACTTGCCCATGTGGGGAAAGATCCTCTCAGCACTTATTGTGTCAAGCCCCTTCAGATCCAAAATCTTTCAATGAGATTACCTCTCATTCTTCTCAACACCAGTGAGTAAGAATCCCAGAGATAGCAGGAACTGCAGATGCTGGAGAATCTGAGATAACAAGGTGCAGAGCTGGATGAACACAGCAGGCCAAGCAGCATCAGAGGAGCAGGAAGGCTGACGTTTTGGGCCTAGACCCTGCTTCAGAAATGGGGGAGGGGAAGGGGGTTCTGAAATAAATAGGGAGAGAGGGGGAGGCAGATAGAAGATGGATAGAGGAGAAGATAGGTGGAGAGGAGACAGACAGGTCAAAGAGGCAGGGATGGAGCCAGTAAAGGTGAGCGTAGGTGGGGAGTTAGGGAGGGGATAGGTCAGTCCAGGGAAGACGGACAGGTCAAGGGGGCGGGATGAGGTTAGTAGGTAGGAGGTGGGGGTGGGGCTTGAGGTGGGAGGAGGGGATAGGTGGGAGAAAGGACAGGTTCGGGAGGTGGGGACAAGCTGGGCTGGTTTTGGGATGCGGTAGTGGGAGGGGAGATTTTGAAGAATCCCAACCTGCTTAGCCTTTGCAAGATAATCCCATCATACTGAGGATCATCCCAGTGAACCTTCTTTGATGAAATAACATCTTTGCTTAAATAAGGGGACCAATTTTCAGGAAGTAATGATGAGGCTAAGGCAGTGGATGTTGTCCACTGGACTTTACTAATGCATTTGACAAGGTTGCTCATGGTAAGCTGGTCCAGAAGATTAAATCACACGGCATCCATGGTGAGTTGGTTAATTGGAAACAAAATTAGCTTGGTCATAGAAGACGGGGGGTCATTGTAGAAGAGTGAATTTCTGACTGGAGACTGTGACCAGTGGTGTTCCGCAAGGATCAGTGCTGGGACCTCTGTTGTTTGTAACATAAATGATTTGGATGAAAATGTAGGTGGTCTGATTGGTAAGGTTGCAGATAACAGGAAAATTGGTGGAGCCATTGGCTAGTAAGGAATGTTGTTAAAGGATACAGCAGGATATAAACCAGTTGGAAAGTTGGGCAGAGACATGGCAGATGGAGTTTAATCTGGAGGTGTGTGGTGATATATTTTGGGAGGTCAAATGCAAGAGGAAAATATACAGGAAATGGCCAGATCCTTAGGAACATTGATGAAGAGAGGGATCTTGAGTGCAAGTCCACAGCTCCCTGAAAGCAGCAACACAGGTGGATAAGATGGTAAAGAAAGCACATGCCTTTATTGATCGGGGCATTAAGTATAAAAGTTGGCTAGCCATGTTGCAGTTGTATAAAACTTTATTTAGGCCACATTTGGAATATTGTGTGCACTTCTGGTCACCACATATGGGAAGGATGTAGGTGAAAGGAAAGGTTTACCAGGATGTTGTCTGGATTAACAAGGTGTAGAGCTGGATGGACACAGCGGGCCAAGCAGCTTCAGAGAAGCAGGAAGGCTGACGTTTTGGAAGAAGGGTCTCGGCCCGAAACATCAGCCTTCCTGCTCCTCTGATGCTGCTTGGCCTGCTGTGTTCATCCAACTCTACACCTTATTATCTCAGATTCTCCAGCATCTGCAGTTCCTACTATCTCTGTTGTCTGGATTGAAGTGTTTTCATCACACAGAGAGGTTGGACAAGTTTGGATTGTTTTCGCTAGAACGTCAGAGGCTGAGGGAGCGACCTGATAGAAATTATTAGAATTATGAGAGACATGGATAGGGTGGAGAGTTGAAATCCTTTTCCCAGGGTGGAAATGGCATAAACTAGGGGGAATTATAGGTTTCAGGTGAGAGGAAAATATTTAAAGGAGATGCACGAGAAAAGTTTCTTTTCCACACAGCATGGTGGATGCCTGGTACGTGCTGCCAGGGAAGGAGGCCGAAGCAGAAACAATGGCAGATTTTAACAGGCATTTAGACAGACACAAGTCATCAGAGAATAGAGGGAAACAGACCATGTGGATGCAGATGGGATTAGTTTAGAATGGCATCATGTCGGAACAGACATGGTGGACCAAAGGGCCTGATCCTGTGCTGTACTGTTCTGTGTTTAAACTGCTCACCGTTCTCCAGATGTGTCTCACTGGCATCTTGTAGTTGCAGTAAGACTTTCCTACTTTTATATTCCAACCTCATTGAAATAAGGGCCAACATTCCATTACCCTTCCTGATTACCTGCTGCCCCTGTGTGCTAGCTTCCTGTGTTTCTGATGTGGGTACCAGTTCCTTTGTGGTACAGTTTTTTCGTAATTTTTCTCCATTTAAATAATACTGTTCTTTTGTTCTCCCTTCATTCCCTTCACTTTGAGTTCCGAGGAAGGGTCACAGGACCCTAAACATTAACTCTGACTTTTTCCTCACAGATGCTGCCAGACCTGCTGAGCTATTCCAGCAACTTCTGTTTTTGTTCCTGATTTGCAGCGTCCACAGTTCTTTAGGGTTGTATTAGTAAGAAGTGCCTTGTGTTTGTTTGTTCGCCATATGGCATGTTGGCTCAGTGGTTAGCACTGCTGCCTCACGGTACGAGGGACCCAGGTTCAATTCCAACCTTGAGAGACTGTCTGTATGGAGTCTGCACATTTTCCTTGATAGGCATGGGTTTCTTCCCACAGTACAAAAATGTGTAGTTTAGGTGGGTTGTTTGTGCTATATTGCCCATAGTGTGCAGGTCATGTGGATTAGCCATGGGAAATGCAGGGTTACAGGGATTGGTTGCGGGGTGGGTGTTGGATCTGGGCGGGATGATCTCTGGAGGGCCGGTTGGACTGATCAGCCAAATGGGCTACTTCCACATTGCGGGGATTCTATGAAATGTACTGACTGGTGTCCAGAATCAGACTGCTCTAGTGACTATGTATGTCACCAAAGATATTTTATGAATAAAGTATATTTTTGACATTTAAAAACAAGTATTATTTGTTTAAACTTAATACATTGCATTTCCTGGTTTTCTCCAGTTTTACTAATGTCTGAAATATGTCTAACAAGAGAGTGTAATCCAGTAATAAGGAAATACCTGAGCACTTTGCATTTGTGAAGAGCAGCTGCCAGTCTGTGGATCTCTTCTGTTCCCAGGCAGCAGTTGTTAAGGTTAACCTCCTGGATCTCATCACAAGGACAAATGACAGTCGCCAGCACAGTACAGTCTACAGGGGTCAGGCGAATTGCATTGTAGGGAACGTCATCCCCCAGTGAGAGTATCCCTCCCGATCCCACAGTGCACTGCATTAACCCCGTGTGCTGTGACTCGAACAGATAGTACAGGGATTCCAACAGCTTGTGCTTACTGAGATTATTCTGGTTGTTGTTGAAGTTGATTTCAGTTTGTTTCTTCACCCAATCAATCACTGAACACGTGACCTGATGAGGAAGGGGTCCCAGGAGGTCTTTGATTATCCGAGCAGAACCCGGTGAAGATAGACCGACCATAAACCTGAGGAATATCTTGAACCGGTTTTCTCCGCCAGAAGAATCCAGGAACTGTGTCAAGGTCTGTGGCAGTCTCTGTGCATCTGCGGTCAGATATTTACTGAGAGCTGCTATAAATTCCTGCAGTGTGAAGTGAATGAACGAGAAGTGGGATTGAGAAGTATCTGGGTCTTTGTGTTCTATCAGAAACCCTGGCAGTGTGTGTGATCGCTCCAGGTTGTAGTAATTTAAATGGGTCTCATTAAAACGAGAGACATTGTTACAGATGCCCATATAGGCCAGTTCACCAGTTCTGAGCACCAAGTCATGAATTTGTTCAACACTGAGTGTATGGTGTTTATAAATATTGAACTCATGGTTTTTGAAGATGTTCAATATGTAATTTGCAAATAGTTGAGTGATGGTTGTGGGGACTACTTCCTGCGTCTCTTGCATTTGTCTTAATCCAGGGGCCAGAGAATAGCAGATGATTCTGCAGTAGGAGGGGTTGTCACACATGGAATACAGGATTTCATTCCCTTCCAGGTAGGTGAAAGCTGCTTCTGCCAGTCTCTGATCTCCAAAGTATTTTGTCAAGTATTCCTTGCGCTGTTCCTTTAGGAAGCCTACGATCTCTGTCCACAGATTGATCTCAGCCTTTCTGAGTGTCTCCAGTTCAGTCGGACGAGTTGTGAGCAGCACTGAACAGCCTTTGAGTACCTTCTGTTGGATCAGACAACGCACAATGTCAGACACTTCACACAGGCATTCCGGGTGGGAACACTGGTGCTCAGGCAGTGTGTTTCTCATCAAGTCTGTGAAATCAATCTTCTCCTTAAACTCTTCTAAACTGTCCAATATAAATAGCAGTCCCTGAGGCTCCTCCCAGAGATGCTCAATCCTATTCCCAAAGTGAGGATATGAATCCAGGATCAGTTTCTTGATACTCGTCCTGCCTGCGATGGTGTTGAGGTCTCGAAATTTGAAAAGAAACACAAACTGAAACTGCTGATATATCTTTCCGTTAGCCCAGTCATGGACAATCTTCTGGACCATGGTCGTTTTCCCAATCCCTGCTGGACCACTGACCACCACAGTCCCAGACACGCTACTTTTCCCAAAACTGCTCCTGAACAACTGACCAATTCTCACAGTTTCCCACTGTGACTTAACCATCTTCCTTTGTCCTTCCTCACGCCTCTTCCCTCTCACTGTAAGGTCACGTCCTGAAACACTCTGTTCAGCATTTAAAACGATAATGATTTGTTCTGTATATTGGTCATCCAGGGAGATTTTATTCTTTTTCCCACCGATAATATTGACCAATAGGTCCGCATTTTGTTGATGAAGGAACTTTTTATGTTGGGTCTGAATTTCTTGAAATAAAAATTTAAGTTGTTGTAAACATTATTAACAAAGACAACAATACTAGAGTAGGAAAGAAACATAATTTACCCATTAAAGATTGCGTTCCCCGGAATTTACAAGTGTGAGAGGGTTTTTTATTTATCCAGGATGCCAATTTTGTTGACAGTGCCAGTATTTATAGCCCATCCCTAATTGCCCTGGAGAAAGTGGAGGTGATCTACGTTTTGAACCACAGTGGTCCTTGGCATATGGGGCCAGCCACAGTTGTGTTTGGGAGGAAATTCCAAGATTTTGACCCAGCCACACTAAAGGAATGGTAATATATTTCCAAGTCAGGATGGTGAGTGGCTTGGAGGGGAACTTGCAGGGGGTGGTGTCCCCATGTATCTGCTGCGTAGGCCTTCTAGATGGAAGTGATTGTGATTTGGAAGGTGTTGTCAAAAGAACCATACAGACTTACTGCAGGGCGTCTTGTAGATAGTGCACACTGATGCTACTGATTATCGAAGGTGGGGGGAGTGAATATTGAAGATGGTAATTGAGGTGTCAATCAAGCAGGATAATTTGACTTGTATGGTGTTGTGTTGAGAGTGGTCAGAGCTGCATTTGTCAGGTAAGTGGATAATATATTCATGGTAGATATTCAGGTTTTCCATCACACTTCTGATTTCTGCCTTGTAGATGATGGACAGGCTTTGGGGAGTCAGGAGGTGAGTTACTCACCACAGTATTCCTAGCCTTGGACCTGCTCTTGTAGCCACTGTGTTTATATGGCAAATCCAATTGAGTTTCTGGTCAACGGTAACCCCCAGAATGTTGATTGTGGGGAATTCAGTGAAGGTAATCCATTAATTGTCAAACTGCATTGATTATCTCCAGTTGGAGTAAGTCATTTCCTGGCTATTGTGTGGCACCAGTGTCATTTGTCACTTATCACCCAATCCTGGATATTATCCAGATCTTGTTGCATTTGAACATGGACTACTTCAAGTATCTGAGAAGTCACAAATGGTGCTGAACATTGTACAATCATCAGCGAACATTCCCACCTCTGACCTTATGATGGAGGGAAGGTCATTGATGAAACAGCTGAAGATGGTTGGGCCTAGGACACTACCCTGAGGAACTCCTGCAGGGATGTCCTGGAGCTGAGATGACTGACCTCCAACAATCACAACCATCCTCTTTTATTTGATTTATTGGAGTTTTCAAGACATTAAGGTGAACTGATAAAGGTAAATAGAGAGAAACGAGTTCCAATGTTTGGGAAGCTTAGAACTAGAGCGCCGACTTTAAAAATTAAAGCTATATTTTAAGTAGCAAAATTAGGCAATACCTCCCTCATTGACAAGTGATACTTTTGTTTAGATTCATACAGCATGGAAACAGACCCTTCATCCAACTTGTCCACACGAACCAGTTTTCCTGAATGGAATTAGTCCTATTTGCCTGTGTTTGGCCCATATCCCTCTCAACTTTTTGTATTCATACATCGATCGCAGTTCGAGGGAAAATAGATCAAATGTTTTTGTATGAAACTAAGCTGCAGTTTATTAGTCATCTCACTGAATGGCCTCCTCTCTTCTTGGATCCTAAATTCTGTCTACCAGAGCCTTTCTCATGGTTAAGCTTGTAATTTTCTGCTTTATTACCTTTCAGGTAGTTGGACACTCTGGATTCCATTAAACTCTGGCTCACTTCCATGGGTAGATTCGCTCCTATTAAGATAAGCTCACGGTTTACATTTCTCAATATTTCTGCATGTAAATAGAAAACCACATGTTCTCATATTAAACACGAGTACATTCAATGTCATTCAGTACCTTTGCTTTCAATCTCTTGCAGTATCTTGCTCAGTTTTGGATTGGTGAGCTTCATCTTGGCAAAGGTTTCCCACATTGCTCTCCCTGCCTGAGCTCCACTCTCCATAATCGAATCCAGGAGATGATTGGCTGCTTCCTGATGACTCCCATCCTTCACCAGTTGTTGGATTTCCTGGAAAACACTAGGTCAGTCACATCCTTCTGTCTGCAGCATCTCCACAATGGCGTTAAAGCAAAAACAAACCTTGACATTATTCAGTCTGTACATATTTCCCTGTGAATCAACTAAAGTGATCCGTATTTGAGAAATCTTGCAAAAAATGAAACATGAACTGATTAGATCTAGATATTCATTCATAGAATCCCTAGGGTGTAGAAACGGGCCATTCAACCCAACAAGTCTGCATCAACTCTCTGAAGACCATCACACACAGACTCACTCCCTACCCTATCCCTGCATTTCCCATGGCTAATCCACCTGGCGTGCACATCCTTGCAAACTATCGGCAATTTAGCATGGCCAATCCACCTAACCTGCACATCTCTGGTCTGGTAGGAGGAACCGGAGCACCCAGAGGGAACCACACAGACACGGAATGTGCAAACTCCACACAGTTGTCTGAGGCCAGAACTGAACCCGGGTCCCTGGTGCTGTGAGGCTAACCACTAAGCCACCATGCCACCCTGTTAAATGGATAAATTATCATTGATTTTTGATAAGTGCTTGTGTGTTGATTCAGAGTTTCCTTGACTTGTGATAGTAGTCTGTGCAATGTAATAGTAGCATATTATGATTGACCTGTGTTAGGATAGTTTTAACTTTAGGCAATGTAAGATCATATCAAATCTCACCAAGACAATTTGTAAATGGAATTGCTTAATGAAACCAACTTGGAATAAATGCTACTCTCAGTAAGGATGACCATGAAACTATCAGATTGTCATCAACACCCCATCTGGTTCATACATGTCCTTTTAAGGATTCCTTGGAGTGAGAGCAAGCTAATGTTTCGAGACCAGATGACTCTTCATCAGAGGTGAAGTGAAGTGCTCAAGCATGACCCGGATCTTCCCGTAGCAGGTCATTTTAACTCGCATGCCCATTTGTCTGTCCTTGGCATGTTGCAGTACTCCAGCGAGTCACGGCGCAAACTGCAGGAACAGCATCTCATCTTCAGAGCAGGCACTTTACAGCCTTCTGGAGTTAACATTGAATTCAATACCTTCAAATTGTAGACCAATTCCCATTTTTTTCCCTTTTAGCTTTACTTGTTGCATTCTCTGTCGCCACGTCCTCTCCCCCACTGTTCTTTCCAGTTTAGCAGTGAGACACACCACTGCTCTGCCATTCTCACATTCCATTCACTCAATCTGAACTATCTTTTTCTACCCCAGCACTCCAACCCCACCCCCACTACAGCATAAATGCTGCCCCCTCCACACTTCACTTCAGCTCCGATGAAGAGTCATCTAGACTCAAAACATTAGCTTGCTTTCTCTCCATGGATGCTGCCTGACCCGCTGTGATCTCCAGCATTTGTTGTTTCCAGTATAGATTCCAGCATCGGCAGCAATTTGCTCCCAGACCAGCATCCCTTGCCTCATTTTGGCCAGTCATGATTCTAGCCCCACCCAATGTGTTTGACTTGTAAACAACCTCTCAGAAGGTCTTCCTAAACCTCTCAGTTGTATCAAACTTCTGGGTAAGAATAAACTAAGAATAGAGCTGGTATCAGTCCAGCATCAAACATGACCAAGGCACACACAGCTGAGTCATCCTGCAAAGTCCCAGAATCAGGATTATTATGGTGCAGGACGTGGGCACTTGGCCCTCCTGCCTGCATTGGTTCACGAGTGCCCAAACTCCTGCATTTTCCCCCATATGCCTGTATGCCATTTGTATCCAAATAACTATCCAATGCCTCTCTTGACTGACTCAATTGAGCCAGCCTCCACCATATTTCCAGGCAGTACGTTCCTTTTCACTACTGTTTAGGAACTTGTATCACAGTGGGGAGCTCTGTTTATTCATTTGCTGGATGCACCAGCATTTATTGCCCATCCCTAACTGCCCTTCGAGGTGGGGATGAGTTGCCTTCCTGAACTGCTGCAGTCCATGGTATGCAAGGACAACCACAATGCTTTGAAGAAGTGTCCAGGCAATTGACTTGGTGATAGTGAAGGAACTCCTTCCTAACCGCATTGCGAGTGTTCCTACCACCCCCCTGCCCAATGACTGCTGCAGTTCAAGAACATGGTTGACCACCACTTTCTCAAGGACTTTTGGGATAGGCAAGAAATGCTGAACCAGCCAGTGAACCAACATCTCATGAATGAGGAAATAAATAATAAAAGCCATCTACGCTTGGAGGCTAATGCTTGCAATTGTGAAAGTCTCCATTATTGTAACAATGGTTTGTAGTGATTTTCCCAATTTGACTGCAACGTTATTTGCAGGTGCTGTCATGAGCAGTTTTTTTTCTTTATTCATTCATGGGATGAGGGCGTCATTGGCCAGGCAACGTTTATTGCCCATCCCTAATTGCCCAGGGGGCAGTTAAGAGTCAACCACATTGCTGTGGGTCTGGAGTCACATGTAGGCCACACCAGGTAAGGATGGCAGATCCCTTCCCTAAAGGACATTAGTGAACCAGATGGGTTTTTCCCCAACAATCGGCATTGGATTCATGGTCATCATTAGACTCTTAATTCCAGATATTTATTCAATTCAAATTCCACCATCTGCTTTGGTCGGATTCAAACCCAGGTCCCTAGAACATTATCTGGGTCTCTGGATTAACAGTCCAGCCATAATAGCACTAGACCATCACCTCCCACTCATTTGAGGCCATTTGATCCCTGACCCCAAGGTGTTGAGGGTGCTGCCTGACTATGATAGGAAGGGAGGATTTGTATGGTGGGATAGGGTCTGTGCCCTGGCTTGGGATCTTTGAGAATGCTGCAATAAAGCTCTTCTTCCTCCTAAACACATTCTGTCCTCAGCTGTTTGCAGTTGCAGGGCTCCAGAAGCCAGAGGTGTTCACCTTAATTAACGTAACTAACTTGCCAACCAGCCTCCTAGACTCAGGCAGTCTGCCCAACACTTGTTGTGCCTGACTAAAGCTCAAAGCTCAGAGATCAGAGGGCAATACAGACCTCCATGGCTTACCCAGTTCTCCACCCAACGTCCACTCCAAAACCCGCCCCCCCCCTCCACCGCTCCCCATGCCTACACTCCCAAATCAAGCTTGGAACCATTCCACCCTGTCAGCCAGGCTAAAATTCCATCCTCAGCTTTAAAACAGCACATGTATGAATAATAAGACTGGATAGGCTGGGAATTTTTTTCACTGGAGTGTATGAGGTTCAGAGGTGACCTTATGGACGTTTGTAAAATCATGGAGTATAAATAAAGTTAATGGTAGGTGTATTTTCCCTCGGATGGGGGATTCCAAGACTGGGGGCACACTTTTAAGGTGAGAGGAGAAAGATTTGAAAAAGACACGGGAGCGAATTTTTTTTATGCAGAGGGCGGTTCGCGTGTGAAACAAACTTCCAGAGGAAGTGGTGGGTGTGGGTACAGTTACAATGTTTAAAAGACATCTGGATAAGCACATGAATAGGAAAGGTTTGGAGGGCTATGGGCCAGAAGCAGGCAGGGGGGACTAGTTTAGTTGGGGATTATATTCGGCATGGACTGGTTGGACCGATGGGTCTGTTTCTGTGCTGCATGACTGTGTAATAGATATTTGCGTCCTTTTTTCTTTTCAAAACAGTAAGATGCCAATATCTTCAGGCAAAAAAAAAACAAAATTGCAAGAGAGATCTATTCAATAAAGCTGTTGTATTCAAAAGGGTGATCAGCAGGATATTGAACTGAAGATGTGAACTCAATCGAACGTACCCTGTGTAAATGGTAATTTGTCTTTAGATCATGTAGTAACATCAGGCTGGCAGCTTCCACACATTCCTCAATGGCTTCTTCTATTCTCTGCCGGTAGAATACAGTGACTTTGCGGAGGGTGATGTCAGTATAACCTTTCAACGTCTGTCTGATAGCAGCACTGTGATCTGGAAACAGACTGCAAATAAATAAACAAAAACAGGGAAGTGCTGGAGAAACTCAGCAGGTCTAGCAGGTGTCTGTGGAAAGGGAAACAGAGTTAAAGTTTCGAGTCCGGTATGATTCGTCTTCAGAACTGAACAGAGAAGTGGAAAGCTGGCGGGTTTCTATCAGAGAGGAAGGAGAAGAGGAGCAGTTGAACAACATTAATCACATGTTAAATATCCAGCATTGGCTGTGAAAAGATTTGGGATGTCATGACAGGTATTTTAAAAGTAGGGATTCATTCTCTTATTTGTGAAGTCCGTTTTAAATATGCAGAATTACTTTAGTTAAAATATTCCTTTTATGCCTGAAAGAAGCAAACCCAAAATCAGAACCAGGAATCATACTGACCAGAGACAGGGAGATAGATTTTGAGATACACTGAAGGTGGAGGAAATGGCCATTGATAACGGCTCCAATTTTTAAATCGACCGAAATAAATGTCAGTCTATTTCTGTAAGGGGTACCTATCACACCACCAGTTTTACAGACCACCACTTATCGTTATGTCAGTGATACAGTCAGAGATCCATGCAGTGAAGCCAATGAAGGGACTGTGTTGAAGGAAGAGGAAGACGCTGTCAAAACGATCAGTGGAAGCAGGTTCAACAGGAACTTTCAAAATGTAACTGGATAAGTCGTGGAAGGGGCAAATTATACAGGACTCCGGGCAACAATAGTGCAGACTGATTGGACAGCTCTTTGAAAGAATCAGCTCAGCCCCAAAAAGCAGAATGGCCTCCTTCTGTACTATTACTGTATCCTACAATTCTACTGTTAATCCCCGCAGTGGCACTGTCAGGCTGGGGTGTGAGCTCCCACCTTCCAGATTTCGTTATGTTCAAACCTGACTGTGGATAAAGGATGTAAAGCAGATTCTTGAGTATTAGCAGGAGAACGAGTGCAGATACCTGTCTCAGGCTGCTCCAATGCATCAAGAAAGTCTGAAGAGAAGGCTGGCTTTGTTTTCTTCAAAGGTGATACTCCCTGTTCCACTGTTGTATGCGGATCATTGGCTGCATGGATATTACTTTCAAGCTTCTTTCCTGTGTCGCTGGCCCTCTGGTCCTGTTCAGGAGTCACCAAATTCTTATCAATATTGACGGACTCTAATTCCATATTGTCAAGTGAATTCAACCAGGGATCCATGGTGACAATGTTCTTCATTTGTTTGATGGGTATCTGATTGTCAGCGTCAATCATCACAGAGCCAGGGTCCCGATAACTGAAAGGATTGGCTATATTTCTACTCACACCGCTGTCCATCTCATTCACGCTGCATTGACTGAAGCCATCACCTTTATATGATGATCTCCCGGGAATGAGGAACAAGTTGCCAGACTGTGAACTGTGCCAACCTCTGGTATCACCAAAGGTCATGGGGTGTCCTGTGCCCAGCTTGTTCACACTCTCGGGTTCTGCTCTGGGATGGTTTTGCTTTTGATCAGCACTTTCCAGGGCTTCACAGCCAACTTCTTTCTTTCTTCCCCACCCAAGTGTCCATGGAAACGCTCTTGCTTTACTCTTATCCCCTTGTTCCACCATTGATTGACTGGTGTCTTGCCAAGCAAATAGATTCCTAGGCTGCATGGGACCTGCCAAATTGAAGCTGAGGCTCTTCGATCTGTCACCCATTCTCTGATACAGTCGTGTGGCATGTCCAAAGCTGAAGCTACCCCCAGGTTTACTGTCTGGATTACTGTCTGTCTGGCTTGTGTTTGCTGACCTGAAACAGATGGTTCCAGTCACTGGATTCAGCTCCTCATCCCTGAGCATCACAACTCTTGCTGGTGCCAAGCTGCTACTGGTCTGAGGCGCTTTGCCAGAAGACGAAGAGGCAGCACATACCATTGGGTCAAAAGTCAAACCGATATCGGTGATGACGCTGTGAGCCAAAACACTTCTTGTAGACACAGTTGTGTTGCTGTCCATTTGCGTACACGCTGCAGGAAGGCTGGTTTTGGATCTCCTTTTTCTGTTGGATCCTCTACCTCTGAAACCTCGCTTGCTGAACATGTTTGCTTGAAGATGTCAAATACGGGAGCCTTTTTATTTTTGTCAGGCCTCAGTTCCAGCCCTCGTTCATTCTCCTGTCGTTCTTAGTCAAACATAATTTAATGTAAAATAAACTCCCAGTCAAAACTCATTCGCTCTGTTCCTCAGACCCGCAGACCTGCTCCTGATACAAAATGTTGGCCACACTATCTCAGCTTTACTTTTGTTCCTTCTTCCCCGAGATTCAACTTTGCAAATGATTTTTTTTTCACCCCAAATGGATGCTACTGCACACAGATGAAGTGTATGAAATATTTTAGAATCTCAGGCGCTCGTGATGATATCATGGGATAAATTCATCTGCTTCTTTCTTCTGATTTTCTCTCCCTTGTCAAACCCATGATCAGGACAGAGGCACATTTATTCCTTAGGTTATTTTTTTAAAAAAATGCCTTACATATATCCAGCAGGTCTGGTAATATCTACAGGGAAAGAAAAACAAAATTAGTATCAAAGTCAGGGACACTGTATCAGAATTGAGAAAAGTTAGAAAGGCAAGGCGGCATGGGGGAAGAGAATAATACAGAAGAATTTTGGTAGGATGGAAGACAGGAGAGCTTAAATAAAGAAAGGGTTAATGGTACAAGCCAAAAGGGATGTTAATGCAACAAGCAAAGAAACACCAAGTGTTCAAAGGAGCTGCATAATAATGAACAGCTGTAGTCCAAACGTCAGGAAAAATCCCAATCAAGAGTCATAGAGTCACAGAGATGTACAGCATGGAAACACTCCCTTTGGTCCAACTTGTCCATGCTGACCAGATATCCTAAATTTGTTTAGTCCTATGTGACAGCATTCGGCCCATATCCCTCTAAACCCTTCCTATTCATGTACCCATCCAGATGCCTTTTAAACGTTGTACTTGTACCAGCCTCCACCACTTCCTTTGTCAGCTCATTCCATACATGCATGACCCTCTGCATGAGAAAGCTGCCTCTTAGGTCCTATTTGAATCTTTCCCCTCTCATCTTAAACCTATGCCCTCTAGTTTTGGACTCCCATACCCTGGGGAAAAGACCTTGGCTATTCACTCTATCCATGACCCTCATGATTTTATAAACCTCTATAAGATCACCCCTCAGCCTCCAACACTCCAGGGAAAATAGTCTATTCAGCTTCTCCCTATAGCTCAAACCCTCCAACCCTGGCAACATCCTTGTAAGTCTTTTCTGAATCCTTTCAAGTTTCACAACATCCTTCCTATAGCAGGGAGACCAGAATTGCACGCAGTCTTCCAAAAAGTGGCCTCACCAATGTCCTGTACAATTGTAACATGACCCTCCCAACTCCTATAATCAATGCACTGACCAATAAAGGCCAGCGTACCAAACACCTTCTTCACTGTCCTGTGTACTTGGGACTCCACTTTCAAGGAACGATGAACCTGTACCCCAAGGTCTTTCTGTTCGGCAACACTCCCCAGGACCTTACCAATGAGTGTATAGGTTCTGCCCTGATTTACCCTACCAAAGTATAGCACCTCACAGTTAACTAAATTAAACTCCACCTGCCACTCCTCGGCCCATCTGATCAAGGTCCTGTTGTACTCCGAGGTAACCTTCTTCACTGTCCACTCACCCAGGCTGATGAGTTGGTAGCTGACTCCCAGAGATGGACACACAGTAGTTGAGAGTCTGAGGTGGGCAGATAAGGTGAGAAAGGGACAGAGGTTGACTTTGTTTCCAATGAAATATTCCAGTTCCTGGCCAACTCTGGAAAACTCATTCATACACAGGAAAGAAAGATTAGAGAAGGGACTGGAGCGTGGATTTCATGGAAACATTTAAAAATAAAACAGTTGAGGAGACTGCTCTGCTGTTCCACATGATCATGGTTGATCATCTGCTCAGTGCCCAGTTCACACTTTCTCCCTGATACCCTTTAATCCTTTTAATCCCATAAAGTATATCTAACTTCTTCTTGAAAACGTTCAATATTTTGACTTCAACCACTTTCAGTGGCAGAGAATTCCACAGTGTCACCACTCTCTGGATGAAGACAATTCTCCTCATCTCAGTCCTAAATTGCTCACCCTGTATCTTGAGACTCCCTGGTCATCAGGAACATCCTTCCTGCATTTACCCTGTCTACTTCTATTTGAATTTTATAGGTTTCTATGAGATTCACCCTCAATTCTCCTACAGTACAGTGAATATAGTAACTGATCAAGTTTCTTTTTGTACACCAGTCTGTCTGTCCCAGGAATCAGGCTGATTTCAAAAAGACCGGTTCAACATATCGCACAAAAAAAGACGAACATAACTCGCGACCACGCGAACACCTTTAATTGGAAGAAGTGAGCAAAGTTTAAGGAGATGTTGTTCAGCGTAAGAACAGGCTCAGTTGATCAGACAAGGGTGGGGCTGGTGGGACAGGATCAGATGGGTCTCCATTCAAGGATGAAGTAGAGGCTGTCGAGTGGTATGGCAGCTCAGTGGTTAGCACCGCTGCCTCACAGCGCCGGAGACCTGGGTTCGAATCCACCCTCAGGCGACTGACTGTCTGTGTGCAGTTTGCACATTCTCCCTGTGTCTGCGTGGGTTTCCTCCAGGTGCTCTGGGTTTCCTCCCACTGTCCAAAGATGTGCAGGCTAGGTGGATTGGCCATGCTAAATTGTCCCATAGTGTTCAGGGATGTGTATATTAGGTGAGTTACAGGGAAAGGGTAGGGGGATAGATCTAGGTGGGATGCTCAGAGGGTTGGAGTGGGCTTGATGGACCAAACGGCCTGTTTCCACACTGTAGGGATTTTATGATTCTATGTTAGGCTGCCCTGATAGGGAGTGGAGGTGTTGAGAGACTGGACATCCATGTTGACGAAATGAATGGTTATAGCCAGGAATCTGGAAACATGTTAAAAAGGAATAGGGCAAATTGGATGAGTCATGGATAGTGGGTTGGAAGCAATTGGACAAGGAGATGAGAAACAAAAGTGAGATAAGATAACCAGATCTATGGTTACAGACTCAGTGGCCCAGGGGTACAGATACACCAAGGAAGGAGTATTATTAGACAATTCATATTGCGTCATTATAATAAAACTGTTAAAACCTCATGAATGACCACCTTCTGATCCCAAGTTAATCTTTAGCACTGCCCTTGAGATGCTGGTCGGTGATCACGGAAAGTCCAATGTTTTCAGTAAAATCGTCTGGAAAATTTCGTCTCAGAGAGCGGGGAATTTTATGACTTTATGCTTTAAGGAAAAAGGAGAGGTGGAAGTTAAAAAACAAAAATCGCCCTCAACACCTTGAATTGATTCTGTCAAAATGTGAGGTGTCGGTTATTTTCAGGTTCCCTTCTGCTGTGACCTGTTATTCTGTTATCCTCCAGCAGATAAAGGCATGTGTCAGATACTTAAGCTGTTTTGCTTGAGAGTAGATGATGTTAGTGAAGGTAAACAAGCCTAAACCACTTTTTTTCCTGTGCCTAAGCATTCAAACAGAGCCAAATTTGGTGAAGAGGGGAGGGGTGCTACTTTGTTTGATCTAACTTTTTCATCCTCTAGGAATTCGTTATTACTATTGGGGAAGAAGCTCGCTATCTGGTAGGTGGTTTATTCCTAAAATTAACCTCACAACCATATAAACCTTAACACCCCCAAATCATATAAAACATATAAACACGGAAAATGGATAATGGAATACCATAATTAAATAGTTAATTAAAACACATTATGAATGACAACCTATGGATGCCACTGTGACCCAGTGCAAACATATCTGCAGTAAGTGTTTGAAGTTCAAGCAGCTTTGTCATCAAGGTCACGAGTTGTAAGCTAAAGTACAGACATTGTGACACAATCGGGAGGGGGAAAGCTACCTGGAAATTTTGTACCAGGAGGTGGTTAGAGACCGTAGGACAGGGATTTGTGCTTTGGTTAGTGATCAGTGACAGAGAGCGTGTATCTCTGACTGAGGTAGATAAGTGCACTCAGAGGGCAGGAACCTCAGCCTGTCCAATCGTCTAACAGGTTTGATGTTCTTTTTAGGTTGTTTGGACAAGAGCAAGGGCTGCCATGAGGCTGAAGACTAACTGACCATGGTACAGGAAGCTATTCAAAGGGACTAACCAAAAAGGAATGTAGTGATCATGGGGGCATGATAGTCAGGAGATTAGACACTGTTTTCTTCCGCAAATAACAAGAGTCCTGAAGCTATGTTGTCAGCCCAGTGTCAGGGTTTGAGGCATCTACTCAGGGCTGGAGAGGAAAGATCCATTCTTTGTGCTCTAGGCAGGTACCAACAACATAGGCAAGGCAAGAAAAAAGTCTACTGTATCCACTGCTCCTGATCTAGCCTCCTCTACATCGGTGAGACCAAGTGTAGACTCAGAGACCGTTTTGTGGAGCATCTGCGCTCTGTATGCAACAAATGACAGCAATTTCCAGTTGTCAACCATTTTAACTCCCCCTCCAATTCCCTGGGTGACATGTCCATCCTGGGCCTCCTCCAGTTTCACAAATGACACCACACACAAACTAGGGGAGCAACACCTCATATTCCTACAGCCCGATGGCCTAAACATGGAATTCACCAGTTTTAAAATCTCCCCACCCCCAGCCTCATCCCATGTCCAACCCTCCTGCTCATCCCCACCTCCATGACCTGACACAACCTGTCCATCTTCTTCCCACCCATCCACCCCTCCCACCTTACTGACCAATCCCCACCACTGCCTACCTGCACTCACTTATCACCATCCCACCTATTTTCCCCAGCCCCACCCCTCCTCTCTATTTATTTCCCAGCTCCCTTTCTCCGTCCCCATTTCTGAAGAAGGGTCCTGACCCAAAACGTCAACTTTCTGATACTGCCTGGCCTGCTGTGTTTCTCCAGCTCCACACTGTGTTGTCTCTGACTCCAACATCTGCAGTTCTTGCTATCACCGCAAGAAAAAAGTAGTCACTTTGAGGATGTTGGCACCAAATTAACAAGCAGAACCTAATTACCTGAGCTACGTGCAACTGGCAGAGAACAAGTCAGATTAGAGAGAGATGAGTGCATGGCTCAAAGACTGATGCAGTAAACGTATGTTCTGGCGTTTGTTGGGCACTGTTAGTAATAGCAGGGAAGGAGGATTGTTTCCAGTTGCGGAAGTAATATCAGCACTGGGTAAGTCCGTCTGGAACAAGCTCAAAGGATCAAAGAGGGTACTCAGCACTGATCATCCAGCAGAATGGCCTCAGGAAATGTACAATTCTATTCCCTATAAAATCTTAAACTCCAGGCACCTTTGTTAGTGGGAAATATAAACAGCTTTCAGAATCTGATGATTGTAGTAGGCCGTTAAGGTTGAGAACAAAATGCTGGCCAGGGTCAAGAGCAGGAAACCCTCAATGGAGGTTAAAATCTCTTTGTGTGAGTGCGTGTGTGTGCATGCGTGGGGGATGGTTAACCTTTCTGAGCATTAGGTGCTGGAAATAATGCACTCTGACAGTCCACATAAAGGGCAGCAGAGTAGATGGGCTTATTACCAACTTTAGAAATCCAAGTACAAGACCGTGTGGGGACTGTGCTTGCAGAAACAAATCCAGATTCTCAGAAAGACAGTCAGGAGAATAGGTCAGGGAATCAGAAAGCAGGGCAAGTGGCAGAGGGGCCTCAGTGAACCAGTTTGGCAGAGGATTTGAGCAACGAGAGACCAAGCGAGGAGAGTGCAGGAAGACACTGCTGGAAGATGAACGGGTGGCTGCAATGTCAGGACATTAAAAGTAAAAGGCAGTGTCAAGCTCAGCACAAGCAATCTGATAGCAAGGCTGAGGGACATTTAAAGGATATTAAGATGGAACACAGGATAGCTCAGAATCCACCACATGAATAGATTGAGTACAGCCCCTGTACGGAACAAATCTGTGACCTGACCAGAGCATTATTTCCAGGGCCAGGGATAAGCCTTGTCACCTGGGGATGTTGCAGTAGACTGTGAGGAGGAGAAAAAGAGCCCAAATGCTGACTGGCTGTCTGTCCACCATGACCATGAGGTTGATGTTCCCCCATGACAGTGAACATTTGGCCCATCCCAGGTGTTGGTCCTGCATTTTACACAGCGATGAAGTGATTTCTCACAGGAACTTTCAGTTTCGGGGTTTGCTGGCCAACATACTGAATCTTTTGTACGCAGGGAATGCCTCTGTTCATTTTCATTGTTGCAGAGCAGATGGGGTCGGGTGATCTGATAAAGAAGCTGATTTTGGTCTCCCTAGATAGAAAACTGTGGTAACGTACAATTCTAAAGGGGGTGCAGGAGCAGAGGGAACGGGGTGTTCACAAATCATTGAAGGTGGGAGGTCCAGCGGAGACAGCAAGAATTAAGCCATGCAGCATCCTCGGCTTTATTATTAGGAGCAAGGAGGTGATGTCAAACTTCTACATGACACTTGTTAGACCTCAGCCAGAGTATTGCGCATTGCTGTGTGTGTGCGCCACATTATAGAGAAGATATGAATGTATTGGAGAGAGTGCAGGAGAGATTTACAAGAATGGTGCTGCAGATGAGCAACTCCATTTATGGAGAGAGACTGAAGAAGTTGGGCAGCACAGTGGCTCAGTGGTTAGCACTGCTGCCTCACAGTGCCAGGGACCCACATTTGATTCCACCCTCGGGCGACTATCTGTGTGGAGTTTGCACGTTCTCCCTGTGTCTGCGTGGGTTTCATTCGGGTGCTCCGGTTTCCTCCCACAGTCCAAAGATGTGCAGGTTAGGGTGGGTTGACCATGGTAAAATTCAGGGTAACAGATATAGGTGGGAGCTCGGGTCTGGGTAGAATGCACTTTGAAGGGTTAGAACATACCCGATGGGCCAAATAGCCTCTTTCTGCACTGGAGGGATGTTCTCCTTGAAGAGAAGGCAGCTGAGAGGAGATTTGATGGAAGTTTTCAAAATCTTGGGTGGGCTGGATAGAATAGATAGGGAGAAGCTTTTCCCACTCATAAAATGAACAAGAACAAGTCACTCCTGGTGGTAACCACATGGTATGATGGAGTATAAAGAGGCAAAAAGGAGTCCTCACAGTAAGGTACAGTAATAATCATGGGGACTTTTAACCTACTTATCAGAAAGGCAAAGATTATCTCGATGATGAGTTCATTGAATATTTTCAGGAGAGTTTTGTAGGACAGCAAGTTCATTAGCCAAATAGACAGCAAACCATACTAGCCCTGATATTATGCAACAAGGTAATTAAGAACGCCATAGTAAACTCATCCCTCTGCAACAGTGACCATAATGTGATTGAATTTGACATTCAGTTTGAGAAATGGAAGGTGGGTCTAGGACTAGTATTCGAAACTTAAAAAAGGGCTTAAACATGAGGTCATGAAAACAGAAGTGGCTTAAGTGAATTTTTATTTATTCATTCACTGAATGAGGGCATTGCTGTCTGGACCAGCATTTATTGCCCTTCTCTAATTTCCCCAGTGGAAATTATTGAGTCAATCGCATTGTCGTGAGTCTGGAGTTACATGTAGGCCAGACCAGGTCAGAATGGCAGATTTCCCTCCCCAAAGGACATCAAGTAAACCAGATGGGTTTTCCCCCAACAATTAGCAATCCATTCATGGTTGTCATTAGACTCTTAATTCCAGGTTTTTATTGGGTTCACGTTCCACCATTTGCCACGGTAAGATTCAAACCTGGGACCCCAGAACATTACCTGGGTCTCTGGATTAGCAGTCCAACAATAATACTGCTAGACTACTACCGCCCTGAATTAGGTTAAAACTTAGATCAAGAGATGCAGTACAGACATTTGAGAGGACATTTCAGAATACACTGAATAGATACGTTTGAACAAGAAAGAAAAATACCGAGGTTTCTGTGAATTAACTAAAAAATGTAAAAAACAGTCTTCAACTTAAAGCAAAAGCGTATAATGGTCAAAATATGGCTGGTGGGTTAGAACATTGGACAGATGATTAAACACAGCAAAAAAAAAGTGACAAGGAGGGAAAAACATGACTTACCAACAAAATTTAGTTAGAAATATAAAAATAGGTAAGAGTTTCTGTAGATACTCTATAGAATCCATGACTATGTTGAAGGCAGAGGTGGGTGGATTTTTGATAAGGTGCAAAAGGTATGTTCCTCCAGCTCCACACTGTGTTACCTCTGACTCCATCACCTGCAGTTCTTATTACTTCTGAGAGGTTATCAGGGTTGGCAAGAAAATGGGAGTGTAAAAGCTCACATCAGGTCTGCCGTTGCTAAATGGCCTAGCAAACTAGAGGGATTGAGTGGCCTACTTAATTGTGATCACTTCCCTCCCTTTCCCTAATCTGTGACGTTCTCAGCTCAGACTGTGTGAGCTTTATCGATTGAAGGTGAGGTGGTCAAGTCCTATCGGGGCTGTGAGCAAATAAAACAAAACAAAAACCAAAGCACTGGAGAAAATCAGCGGGTCTGGCTGTACTAGTGGAAAGCTTCACTCTCTTCCGCTCTCTAGTGCAATGAGGGTTTACCCCAGTTGCTCAGAAACCCATGGGGACTTCTCTCGTGTCACGCAGGGCAATACACGATGGATCAGTTTGAATCCTTTTGTGTGCATTTCTGCATGGTCAGAGAGCCAGGCAAAGTTTAACCCCCTTCCGAGCAATATCAATCCAACCCCCCTCACCAGATTATGTCCCTGTCTCTGTCTATCTCTGCGAGCAGTTTTCGAATCCTCTTCCTGGTGTCTCTCTCTCTTCCCTTCCATTTTATTTCTTTCGACCTTCACCATTCTCTTCAAACCTTCTACTACAGAAATATCAATCTTATTTTAGTTTAGTTTCTAACCATTTTAGTCAGAACATATTTACCCGCCGGATGAGAAACCTTCTCAGCTTGAGATCTGCCGTCGCTTTTCTGTGCGTTTTCAGTTTTGTACCTAACCTGAGATGTTTAAGTCTGCTTAGAAACTGCTGACTCAAACCGGATTTAAAAACCAGGATTGGCTGCACACTGGAGTACCTTGAGGAGGCGAAGGGGAGAGAGAGGGTTAAAAACAGTGACTGGTTGTACTAAACAAGAGCTGATCAGGATAAACAACTGCTCTACGGCGAGGCACTTAGTTGAAGCAAGTTACAACGCAAACGGAACCTGCTAGAGAAACTCTGCAGCATCTGTGGAGAGAGAGGCAAGCGTTAACGTCAAGTGGTGGTGCCTGTACAGACACACACTTATTGGCCCAGATTAAGCTGCCCGGGGCTGTGGACAAATGTGTATTTCATTGAAATAAAAGTAAAATACAGTAGATGCTGGAAATCCGAAACCGGTGAAACAACAAGATCATAAGGTAAATGAGCAGAATTAGACCATTTGGCACATCGAGTCTGCTCCACCATTCAATCATGGCCACCATTCAATCATGGCTGATAGGTTTCTCAACTCCATTCTCCTGCCTTCTCCCTGTAACCCCTGATCCCCAAACTAATCAGGAACCTGTTTATCTCTGTCTTGAAGAAACTCGATGACCTGACCCTACAGCATTGCAGCAAAGAGCTCCATACATTAACCACCTTCCAGCTGAAGAAATTCCATCTTATCTCAGTTCTAAAGGGGTTGTCCCTTCACTCTGAGGCTGTCTCCTCAAGTTCTGGTCTCTCCTAGTAGTGGAAACAGCTTCTCCACATCCAGGCCTCTTAGTCCTCAAACACTTCCCATATGATAAGTCCTTCATTTCCAGGATCATTCTTGTGGACCTCCTCCGTACACCCACCAAGGACAGCACATCCTTGCTTAGATCCTTTCCCAAAGCTGTGCCAGTACATTTACAACACTGCCATCGATCCCAAAAATGTGGAGTATTGCCCATGTTTGTGTTGTACACAAAAACCCAGCCAATAATCACTCATCAGTCTACTCTCTACCAAGTTGCAAGCATTTGGCCCAAATCCTTCTAAACCATTCCTATTCACTTAGCCATCCAGACGCCTTTTAAATGTTGTCATTGTACCAGCCTCAACCACTTCCTCGGGCAGCTCGTTCCATACACGCACCACCCTCTGCGTGAAAATGTTGCCCTTCAGGTCCCCTCTCACTTTAAACCTATGCCTTCTAATTTTGGACTCCCCTGGGAAAAAGATCTTGACTATTCACCAAAACCATGTCCTTCATGATTTGATAAACCTCTATAAGGTCACCCAACAGCCTCCGACACTCCAGGGAAAATAGCCCCAGCCTATTCAGCCTCTCCCTTTAGCTCAAACCCTCCAAGCCTGGCAACATCCTTAAAGATCTTTTCAGAACCTTCCAAGTTTAACAGCATATTTCCTATAGCAGGGAGACCAGAATTGAACTCGGTGTTCTAAAAGTATTCTCAAGAAGCTGGATACCATGCAGGACAATGCAGCTCACTTGATTAGCACCACATCCATTGCATCCACTACCAACGCTGAGTAGCAGCAGTGCGTACCATCAACAAGAAGTGTATGCAGTATTAACCAAACTATTCACCAAAACGTTAAGGGTGCAGCAGTCATCCTGATAATTAGTCCGCATAGCATGGTCCAGACTTCTTACAGCTCCCCCCTCCCAAACTGGAGGAGCAAAGGAAGGGGCAGGAATTCAGCCCAGACACACTCCCCCCTCCATACAAGTCCCCTGCCACCAGAAGACGAGAGCTCCCACAAATGAATGCCAAATCCCAATCAGTGCTATAATGGTGACTGAACTGGCCCAGGACTGCTGGGCACCTTAGAGTCTAACCTGGCAATGGGAAATCTGGAATAAGGGTGCCAACAGCCAGGGTACCATCGTGGCAGCAAAAGCTGGAGTGAAAACAGGCTGTGGCTTACACATTGAGGATGACAGGGATGGCCCCGTAATGGATATAGCTTTTTAAGCTGCCCAGCCACATGAGTGCACACGGTAGCTCAACAGGAACAGCTTCTGCCCCCACTAAACATCCATTTGCGCACTGGATGACAATGTGACTCTCCACATCCTGCACCTGGGGCACATTTACTCTATTACCCCTTTTGTTTTCATTTTAGAAAAGGGGCCAGGAATGGGTTACAATTGGAAATTTTAATCATTTTAAAATGTTATGTAGAACACAGTGTTGGATATAGGACCAAGATATTTACAGAAATAACTCTTGTTCTCCTTTTAGGAAGCGCATTGGAGCGACTACCCCAAGACATCGATCTGACCCTTACAGAGCATTTATTGTTTATTTTGTATCATTGCAATGACTGCAGCCAAAAATGTAGTGCAGGCACAATGGAAAACGACGTACCTAGGATACCTGTGGTATGACCCACCAGAAGCCCACAGAGTGTGTGGATGGTATACTCTTGGTCCAGCCTGCAAAATCGGTGGTATTCGGGTGTAACAATCAGTTCATGGTGTATAGGAAACCCGTTGGAAGTTCCACATTGCGCTATATGAGCTTTGGGGTCACAGACGATTCGTGGGGTCTCTCTGAGAATGAGTACATGGTAGAGGGAAGCCTCGTGTAAGTAGACTATGTAACTAATACCAATTGTAACAGATGTATCAGGGACACAGTTACCAGAACAGTGTCCTTCCCCATTAAAACGATTATATTCCCACCTGGCTTGCAGGATGATGGACGTCCCTGCAGGACAAGGGACAGGGAAATATGAGGGGAAAACCCAGACCAACAGTTAATAGACAAAAGAGAAAGGAACTCCTTAATGATAAAGCCACAGCTCACGACAGGAGTGTCACCGGTCACCTTGACTTGGCTAATTTTTTTTTCCTTTATTCATTCATGGGATGAGGGCGTCACTGGCTAGGCAGCATTTATTGCCCATCCCTAATTGCCCAGAGGGCAGTTAAGAGTCAACCACATTGCTGTGGGTCTGGAGTCACATGTAGGCCAGACCAGGTAAAGATGGCAGTTTCTTTCCCTAAAGGCCGTTAGTGAACCAGATGGGTTTTTCCAACAATCAACAATGGATTCACAGTCATCATTAGATTCTTAATTCCAGATATTGTGGTGTTGGTGGTCATCGAGGAATAGACTAGGGCTCCCTGGAGGGAACAGCTTCTGTGAAATGCAGACGGGGTGGGTGGTCCGGTGAAGATGTGTTTAGTGGAGGAGTTCTGTGCTGGAGTTGTCTGAAATGGTGGAGGATGATCCTTTGAATGCAGAGGCTGGTAGGATGAATAGTGAGGACAGGGGGGACCCAATCTTGCTGCAGTGAGTGATGGAAAGGGGGAAGGCCAGAAGCATGGGTGATAGATCGGATGTGGTTGAAGATTCTGTCAACCACAGTGGGTGGGAAACCGCGGTCATGGAAAAAGAAAGCCATGACAATAGCGCTGTTTTGGAAGGCAGCATCAGAACAGATATGACATAGGCTGGCAGTGGACAGTGTATTCCCCAGAATGGAGACAGGTTAAAGAAAGGAAGGGAAGTGCTGGAGATGGACCATGTGAAGTTTACAGAGGGGCGGAAATTGGAGGCAAAATTAACAAATTTTTCAAGGTCCAGGAGAGAACATGAAGCGGCACTGAAACAGTCATTGATGTGCCGAGAAAAGGGTTGTGGGACTGGAGCAAAATTGTTCCACATACCCCACAAAAAGGCAAGCACAACTGGGACTCATACAGGTGCCCATAGCCACTCGTTTGACTTGGCAGAAGTGAGATGAATTAAAGGAGAAATTGTTCAGCTAAGCGGAGGGAAGTGGTGATGGATGGGGATTGTTCAGGCCTCTGGTCAAGGAAGAAGCTGACAGCTCTCAGACCATCCTGATGGGGAATGGAGGTATAGAGGGATTGGACATCCATGATGAACAGGAGGCAGTTAGATCCGGGGAACTGGGAATTCTCAATATGGCAGAGGGTATCAGAGAAATTGCGGATGTAGGTGGGCAGGGTCTGAATAAGTGGAGAGAAGATGGAGTCATAGTGGGAGGAAATGAGCTCGGTGGGACAGAAACAGGCCTATATGATGGGCCTCCTGGGATAGTCTCATTTCTGGATTTTCGGAAGGGGGTAGAAGTGGGCTGTCTGGAGTTTGGAAACTGTCAAGTTGGAGGCAGCAGGGAGGGGTAGATCTCCGGAGGTAATTAGGATGGTGACAACAATGTCCTGATGTTCAGATGTGGGGTCATGGTCCAGGAAGATGTGTCTGAGAGTTGGCATTGAGCCTCTGCAAGGTAACGTTCAGTGCGCCAGAATACAACGGCACCACCCTTGTCAGCAGGTTTGATGATAAAGTTAGGGTTGGACCTAAGAAAGCGAAGTGCGGCCATTTTAGAAGAAGACAGGTTACAGTGGGTGAGAGGAGCAGAGAAATTGAGATGGTCAATGTCACACAGACTGTCTTCAATGAAATGAGCAAGGGCAGGTAAGAGGCCTGAGAAAGGGGTCCCATTGGAGGGTGAATACTGGAGGTGGACGAAGGGAAGCAGTCTTTCCAGGTGAAGCAGCATTTCGCCTGTACCCCCTCAAATCTGGCCCATTGCATTTGCTGCACACAATGTGGCCTACTCTACATCGGAGAAACCAAACACAGACTTTAGGTGACCGCTTTGCAGAACCCCTCCGGTCCATGCCCAATCATGACCTCGGCCTTCCCATAGCATCCTGCTTGGACGTCCACTTGTCTGTCCTCGGTATGCGGCAATGTTCCAGCGAATCACAGCGAGGACTGGAGGAACAACATCTCATCTTCAGACTGGGCACTTTACAGGAAGGAGTTCAACACCTTCAGATTGTGAACTCACTCCCATTTCCTCCCTTTCTTTTAGCTTTACTTGTTGCATTCTCTGTCACCATGTCCTCTCTCCCCCCCACGCCAGTCTGGCAGTTAGACACACCATTGTTCCGCCATTCTCACATTCTGATCATTTAATCTAAACCATCAGCAGACTTTCTCCCCCAGCACTCCACACCCACACTAATATAGGAAATGCCG